GCCTGGGAAACACCTCGAACATCTCAGGAGGGACCAATTTGAGTTGTGAAAACTTAACGAACAGGCACAGGGCTCCCGATTTCAAAACTAGATCGGAAATTACACTTTTCTAACACTTAAGCTTGGAAGTAGGCCATCAGGGGGCCAAAATCATGTAACAATCGCAAGAAGGGCCGGGAACACCTCAAACACTTCGGGAGTGACCACCGCGAGTTGTGAAAACTTACGGAACTAGCACGGAGACTCCCGGTTTGAAAACTAAGTTGGAAAGAGACACTTTTTCCACACTTAAGCTTGGAAATAGGACACCGGGGGGGCCAAAACCGGGTAACAGTCACGAGAAGGACCGGAAAATGCCCCAAACACCTCGGGAGGGTCCAAGGCAAGTTGCGGAGACTTACGGAACTAGCATGAGACTCTCGGTTTGAGAACTAAATAAAAAATTGCATTTTTTTCACACTTAAGCTCGAAAATAAGCCGTCGAGGGCCAAAATCGTGTAACAGACACGAAAAGGCCCAGGGAACACGTCAAACGCCTCGTTGTCCCACCGGTCGTCCGGTCGATTGACCTGAACAGTGCATTTTTTTTTTTTTGCAATTGATATACTTTATGCGTACAGTGAACATCATCAGCTATTTCAAGAAATCATTACCTCATATTTCAAGAAATCATTACATCATCATCAGCTGATAATATTTCGTATACTTTTAAGTTCCAACTTTCCATGGGCTTCATCTGTAGGTAATCTAAGTTGTTGGAGATGATGATCCAGTTGTTTGGCAAGGGAAGTGGGTTAATCAAAGGGAACACAGTGAGTGTGAACTGTATAGAGGAGTTAAGTGGTTGAATAGTCTAGTGGCAAGCTGGAGTTTAATTTTTTCTCTTGTTGGAGAGTGCAGGTGTGAGTATAATATTTTATAAATGAAGATTGGGCAAGGTCGGCAACGGTTTAGGATTGGAAGAGAATGAAGACAAGGGGTGGGCTTAGGCAAACACAAACGAAGAAAATGTGAAAAGGGGTTGACAAGATTTACTTTTCATTCTTTTTCATCCTATCATCTTATAATGTCATTCTTTTTTTTGGCCATTTTCAGTTCTGTTTTGAAAACCAATGAAACCAACAATGCATATTCTCTAGCTTCTCCCTCAATATATATATTTTTTAAGAAATTACTTTTAAAAATGCAGCAGAATAGGGGGCTGCATTAATATGTGATGAGTTTTCCTACAAATATATATATATATATATAAAAAAAATAGAAAAAAACAGGGCTCAGAAATAAACTAGTAAATAAATTCTTACATGGATTACTGAGTGAGGACAAATTTGAGAAACTTCCGCAGGAAGCTGTTTAGCAGATTTAATAAGTGAATACTTTGCGGTGAGAATTAAATTGTTGCTCTCAGCATCCACAACATTCAAGAGGAAATTTTAAAATTTGGATCCCAAACACCTCGGGAGGGTCCAAGGCAAGTTGCGGAGACTTACGGAACTAGCATGAGACTCTCGGTTTGAGAACTAAATAAAAAAATGCATTTTTTTCACACTTAAGCTCGAAAATAAGCCGTCGAGGGCCAAAATCGTGTAACAGACACAAAAAGGCCCAGGGAACACGTCAAACGCCTCGTTGTCCCACCGGTCGTCCGGCCGATTGACCTAAACAGTGCATTTTTTTTTTTTTAATTTTTTGCAATTGACATACTTTAATTTTTATATATTTGAAAAAAATATTTTCTGAATTTTTAATTTTTTTTGTGTTTTAATAGAATTTTGAGTTGTATGTTTGGTTATAAGTTGTAAGTTTTTGTATCAAATATCAAATGTCACATCAAAAATTTCCCACTCAATTCAAAACTCTTTCACCAAACAAATTTTCCAAAACTTACAGACTCAAAATACAACTCCTACTCTCAAATCATAGTTACAAAGCTCTACCAAACGCAACCTAAGATTTCAAAGGAAAATTCATTCGCAAATGACGTCAGATCAAATCAAACATAACAAAAAGAAATACCACCCTTTCTTGTCCACCTTGAACCACTTTCCAACCCTAAAACTTTGATGGCAACTTTAATAATAATATAAATAAATAAATAAATAAAAAGAAGTATATTTAAGACAATTCTGCATGCGCAATTAGGAATAGTTTAGACAATTTTCCTATAGTGTACATTGATACATTTCCTGTGCTAACTCATGAGCAATACTACAAGAAAATGACATAGTTAGCCTTACAGCATGACAATCGTTTTTGGTGTCCTTCAATTTCTATCACATTCACAATTCTTCCTGTTTTTGTAGAGCGCTAGATAACTGAGGAGTGCTAATAGGCATTTTGGCTTTTGTGACAAGTCTGACTGTTGCTATTGGTCAGTACCCCTTTAATGCTTTCTCTAATAAATCTTTTACTCACAAAAAATATAGATAATAAATAAAACTGCTTTTGCTGGCCATTGTAAGCCCTCAAACCTGTAGTGGAAGCGCAACTTTTTCCCATCATAGAGCAATTCAGAAGCTGATATAAGTTAGTCCACTAGTAAACCTTTCGTCAGCTATTTCAAGAACCTTATGCGTACAGTGAACATCATCAGCTATTTCAAGAAATCATTACCTCTCATGTTTTTATCAGTTCAGCGAACCAGAAATAAAGAAGGTTACTACCTTGCTTCTAGGAGCAAAACCAGTTAAACGGTCAATATATCGAACAAAACAACCAGATTCAATCAAGTTACACACATACCCCTGGTTCAAACATCTGAAGTAGTATTAGTCAATAAAACTCAACTACAAAACAATTGATCTTTTAAAGCTATGGGACACTTTGATAATATTTCGTATACTTTTAAGTTCCAACTTTCCATGGGCTTCATCTACAGGTAATCTAAGTTGTTGGAGATGATGATCCAGTTGTTTGGCAAGGGATGCTAGGAGGCAATTCTAAAAATCCTTAAAGGTCAGACCTAGGCTTGGAATTGCACCACACATTCCCTAATAAATTGCTAGAAAATTCCTCGAGAACTTCTCTCTATTGAACTGAATGCATCTAGTAGGTATTATATGTAGACTAGTAGATAATCCTAACCTATGTTACGCGGACTCAGGTACAAGTATCGGGTGCGGGAGGGTATCTAGAGGTCAGACCCAGCAAACCTCAAATTTAAGGGTACACTGACTCGGTATAAAAGGTCATATTTTATATTTTTAATCTATTATATGAGATAAAACAATGTTAACTTATATGTAACATACAATGTCAAAAAAGCATTTTATTTATTTTATAGCAATAATACAACAATATATACATATAATAACAGTGTTAAATAAAAATATGTATGGAGTGTCCGATGAGAAGTATCGGACATATATCCCACACCATTGCCCAAGTGTCGGGTGTCCAACATGAGTATTTGGTTTCTTTTTAGTCAATGTAACATAGAATCCTAACTTCGGTAGGATTTAGAATCCAAATTTAAAATTTAATATGCTTGCTAGTGCAATCCATAGAACCAGTATAAAGTCATCAACTAAAGATCCAATACATCACATGGACCAATAAAAAAAAAGCCAATGTCAGGCAAACTAAGAAATATGAAAATATTTTGATTTGAAAAAACAAACAAAAGATGTAGAAACTGATCCAAACATACCAACCTGATAACAACAAAACAAGATGTCACTAAGACTAAAAATGTGACCATTGCAATGTCTCAAATAGGCCCTACCCTAAAATCAAGTCAATTTCAACAAATTTTTTCTAATTTTCTTATTTTACTCTTTCTAGTCCCTCATATGGATTACATCGGAACTATTAGACAATGGGCAAATAAGAAAAAAGCATAGTATCCTAGAGCTTCGTCAAGGAAAACTCTGTGCGTGTGTGTGTGTGTGTGTGTGTGTGAGAGAGAGAGAGAGAGAGCGTCAAAAACCATAATATAGCATTAATTTATTAAGTTCAACTCTCTCCCTGCAATGTTGGGCTGTTGGGACATGGGGAAGTGGGCTTAAATACAAGTACTTACAAAAGAAAGCAACTCCAAAATCATTATTTGTGCAGGTCTTTTTTCATTTTAAGTTGAGTGTTGATTTCCATTAAAACCTGTTGAAACGAACACCTATTCCACAATCAACAAAGAACTCAACCATTGTTGCTGCCTCAACAGTTTTCCTTTTTTATTTATTTCCCATGTATGGTGTGTTTATCTCACAATTTTTAAAACTCATTTACAAATAGATATATATAATTATACAAATATCAATCCTGTGGCCTACCAGGCTACAATGTACAGCATTCATTGAACTCAGATCTAAAAACCAAATTGATAAATATGTTTCCAGAGGATATACTGGCCACTAAATTGTTCGCCCTAATTTAACTGTCATGTTTAAAGAAATAATAATAATCATAAAAATAACACGAAATTGATCCTAAGCACAAAAACTGGCTTTCATAATCCTGCAGGCCTATTGGATATAGACATTCACTGAAATTCATATAAACATAAACAAAATTTTTCCAGTTGTTTAGACCAGCCAGTATCATTATTATGTCACAATAAAAAGGCTTATTTGAACAAGCATAAAACAAACTGAAAATATAAGAAACAGTGTACATATTGAAACATAAAACATAAATAATAATAATAATAATAATAATAACAATAATAATAATAATAATAATAATAATAAAAGCAAAAGCAAAAGAAAAATTAAAACTAAGGAAAACAATTTAACGAGAAAACAAGATGTGTCCTTGATACAAGTATTGAAAAGAAAGAAACTGAGTACCAAGAACCAATAGTTGATCAAACTCATATCCTGGCTTCAAGACAGATTTCATCAAACCCACAAGCCCTGTGCAGCAGTGCCTTGAAAGTCAGTAAACAATGAAAGAAGGCAGCCTTGAACAACCCTTTCTTCTTGAAGACAGAAAATATACCTTGGTGATCTGACAAATGTTCTGCAGAAATTGTACCCTTGGTGTAACCTTTTGCATTGACACGTACTATTGCTGCATGAGGGGTTACTCGCTCAACCACTCCAGAAACAATAGTGCCCAACTTGGCCACATCATCATCAGTAACCCTGCCAGTAGAAAATCTCAGTTGAGATTAGTACACTGTTCAATGTGAAAAATGCAATTCAGGAATTGACATATATTTCCATTACCATACATGACTGTAGATTATGAGTATCAACATTTTATGTAACAGACAAGGAACAAGATTTCATTTTGTTTCAATGAAAATGACCGAAACATTTCAGTTTTCCAAGAAACCAACACAACACTGGTTGAAAACCAAAATTCTAGTGTTTCCACCAAAACACATTGAAACTCACCAAAACACTACGAAATACACAGGAACAATTTGTTAGAGACCCATTAGGAGTCCCTAGCCAAAATTGTTTGTGTTTTTCCATTTTGTAAAGAAAAAGAAACAAGAAGTTTCAAAGCAAACAAAACATGTCAAATGTGATAAAAGAAATATGAGAAAGTAGAATAGAGAAATAGAGAGATAAAGAGAATAGAAACAGGACATGATAGAGCTATTTATTCTCTTCTACTGTATTCACATATATCTTCTTCTCCCCCTCTTCCCTAGTACTTCTAGTTTTTCTCTTAACAAAGACAATCCCCACTCCGCAACCCAACCATTTCATTTATCATTTGCAAAGAATCATAGACACAAATAAGGATGCAGACATAAGACATGCTCATTTTTAAAAAAATGGGGACACGGATATTGCGGGGAAAAAGCAATAAAATATTTTTCATATATTTTAATTTTCTATGTAGATTAATATTACATCTGGAAACAATCAAAATTAACAAAAACTAATACTAATTCAATATTGAAATAAAGAAATAAATCACCTTTAAATTAACACTTGTCGTTTGTATCTTTTTTATGGATGATATATGAAGTATTCAAATCTAAGCAAAAAGAAATTAACATTCAATATCCAACATACATCAAAAGCACTAAAGCAAGGGAGAAAAAAAAATACTTCACATGTCCCCAGAGTAGTGTTTTAAAAAGCTCTAGGCGTGAGGTGCAAGGCGAGGCACATGCCTCATCAAAGTGAGGCACAAGTCGTAGGCTATAAGTAAAATTATAATATAGGCAAGGTTTTCAACATAAGCAACTATTTCTAAAATTTCAAAAAACATAGAAATTTCAATATTCTAAAAATCATAAAAATAACATTCAACGTTCCGAAAATTTCACAAAAATAACATTCAACCTTACTTCATCCAATACTACCTATCTTCCTTCATTAATTTATATTCACTTCTTTTTTAGATAAGAAACTCGCAACATATAGTACCTTAGTGGTTTTGATTTTAAACAGGGATCAAATTGCCTGATAGCTTCAATCATTGGCCCAAAGTTGTCCTAATTCACTACGTTGAAAGGAATGCCAAAGTCATATATCCATATTGCAATCCAAGGACTTTTTCTCATTCCCTAAGGGTTTTTTAATATAAAAATTGAGGCTCAAAGCACGTGTTTATGTTTGTCGGCAGTGGCGGCGGGGGGTTTGGTTGTTGGTGCCGCTAAGTTTGATGTGGTTGGTTTGGTTGGAACGGAATCGACGAACGTTTCAAGAGGTTCATCATTGTGTGTCCTGGCTAGAGTCGTTTATTATTTGTTTGGTTGGAAAGGAGGACAGGTTCGGATTTGTTTGTTCTTTTTTGATTTTTTGGATGATGTTATTGCTTAGGTGTTAGTTTTTCACCCCATGCCAAGGCTCTTTTTGTATTCTTTTGCATCATCTTGATGCTCGCTCGATAAATTTAGTTTTTTTTTTTTTTGGATGCTCACTTGTTTGGATGGTTAAGTAGGTGAGAAATGATGAGAAAAGGATTCTCACCAAACTTATGTTTTGTTTCTCACCAAAAGCGGTGAGATTTGGTGAGAAAGGAATTGGTTTAATGAAACTTTTCTAAAATACCAAAATTACCCTTATGAAAAAAGAGGGATTTGGTGATAGCCCCCTCATTATCTAATTTGTCTTTCAATGGGACAAGAATTATATAAGTACTTTCAAAACCCCTTAATATTTTAAAACTTGTTTCTTTTACTATATTACCCTCATATCTATCAGCTCTCCTATTAAGCCATCTTCACAGTGTATTTCAGAGTAATATAAAAGTAAAATTTTACTCTGAATAAAAGTAAAATGTTACACTTTGAAACTAAAAGTAAAATTTTACTCTGTATAAAAGTAAAATTTTACTCTGAAAAACTAGTAAAATGTTAGACTCTACACAAAAGTAAAATTTTACTCTGTATAAAAGTAAAATTTTACACTCTGAAACTAAAAGTAAAATTTTACTCTGAATAAGAGTAAAATGTTACACTCTGAAACTAAAAGTAAAATTTTACTCTGAATAAGAGTAAAATGTTACACTCTGAAACTAAAAGTAAAATTTTACTCTGAATAAGAGTAAAATGTTACACTCTGAAACTAAAAGTAAAATTTTACTCTGAATAAGAGTAAAATGTTACACTCTGAAACTAAAAGTAAAATTTTACTCTGAATAAGAGCAAAATGTTACACTCTAAAACTAAAAGTAAAATTTTACTCTGTATAAAAGTAAAATTTTACTCTGAAAAACTAGTAAAATGTTAGACTCTACACAAAAGTAAAATTTTACTCTGTATAAAAGTAAAATTTTACACTCTGAAACTAAAAGTAAAATTTTACTCTGAATAAGAGTAAAATGTTACACTCTGAAACTAAAAGTAAAATTTTACTCTGAATAAGAGTAAAATGTTACACTCTGAAACTAAAAGTAAAATTTTACTCTGAATAAGAGTAAAATGTTACACTCTGAAACTAAAAGTAAAATTTTACTCTGAATAAGAGTAAAATGTTACACTCTGAAACTAAAAGTAAAATTTTACTCTGAATAAGAGAAATGAAATTAGATCTGAAACTAAAAGTAAAATTTTACTCTGACAGCAATGCAAAAAGAAATAAATATATAAAATATCAATTAAATGCAGCTAACTGGAAGCAAAAATACCTTTCAGGAAATGAAGGTAATAGCTCTTCAAGCACTTGGACAATAACTGAACCATGCACCTCTTCATTTGCAACTATAAAATGATAATGGAAAACATTAAAATCTCCAAATAACAAGAAAAAGAGAATGAAATGCAACACACAGGTAGACCATAATGAAAGTGAAGGGAACCAATTCATTAGTCATTGGTTAAACCTAAAAGATTAATTAGGGCAAAGATGATTAATTTGATTTAATAATTTTTGGATTTATTTTTGTTGTTTTTGATCTAATTTCATTTGACAGAACCAGAGTAAAATTTTACTCTGGTTCTGTCAAATGAAATTAGATCAAAAACAACAAAAATAAAAAAAAAATAAAAAACAAACAAACAAACAAACAAAAACAAAACAAATTAATCAACAAATCAACATATCTAATTGAGAAGAAAAACTTCTAAAACTCGATCAACAATCACAAATCTAAATGAAAAGAATACATGTGTTCAACAACACTCATACACACAAATATATATATATATATATATATACATATATTCAAAACTCAAATCTGTGTTTAAAAAAATATGTATAACCAAACAACTCCACCAAACATGCCTCAATTTAGAGACGATCTGTTTCTCCTTGTAGACGATCTCCTTCGATTCCGGCACCGGAGGACAATTTTTCGGCCCGTAGTTGATTTCGTTCCTGATGTTCTTGATGAGTTCATTGTAGAGATCGGTTTCGGCATTGTTGATCGCTGGAGTTTCGCATGATAATTGATTGGACTTGGCTAGGAGAGTGATGACGATGACGTTGCTATCATCGCCGAAGAAGAAGAAGTTACCAAAATTGTCGAGAAACAGAGCTTCAGATCTGGAAGGAGGAGCACGTCGGCGGAGAACAAAGTCAGAAAGGAAAGAGGAAGGAGAGAGATAGAGAAGGTGGGGAGAGAGTGGGTGGAAAAAGTGGGAAAATTTAGTTGAGGGTATAATAGTCTAATAAAATATTTAAATAATAAATTTTGTTCTTTATACAAGACGTTATAATTATGAGGGGGTTTAGAAAGTATAATTTTTTTCTTAGTCCTTTTAACAATAAAAGGAAGGTAAAAGGGGTTTATAGCCAAATTTGCCTATGAAAAAACATAGCCTATTAATATGGAAGGTTATTTTAGTAAAATGAAACACAACACTTTCCTTTCTTTTTTCTTATTTACTCTATCCAAACAAGAGAGGTGAGAAACCACATTATCTTCTCTTTTATTCATCCAAATATAATGGTGAGCTACGTTACACGAACTCTCTGTTTTTTGAGAGGTACCCGTGTTGACATGACACAACACGGGTACGGGTGCTGAATATGACCGGGACACGGCTGTTTACAAACAGATATGATAGAGCCCTAATTGCAAAAGAGAAAGAAGAGAGAGCAAGGAGACAACCTGGTCGCCAACTTCAAAAGGGTGAAGACACTGATCTCTTCTTCTCTCTGTCGATCTCCTCTTCAACTTCCCCTTCGTCTTCAACGAGTCTCGTCTCATTTTCTTCTCTCTTTCTCTCTCTGTCGATCTCCTCTTCTCTCTCAATCGATTTATCTCCTCTTCTTTTCTCTCTCTCTCTCTCTGATAATAAATAAATAAACAAATAAAACCCTAATAAAATCATCTATTTAATAGATAATAATGAATAAAATAGATCATTTATTTTTTTTTAAAAAAAACTAATAAAATTATATATATATATCAATCGATTTATCTCCTCTTCTTTTCTCTCTCTCTCTCTCTCTCTCTCTCTCTCTCTCTCTGATAATAAATAAATAAATAAATAAAACCCTAATAAAATCATCTATTTAATAGATAATAATGAATAAAATAGATCATTTATTTTTTTTTTTAAAAAAACTAATAAAATTATATATATATAATAATAATAATAAAAAATCTATAAAATAAATCATAACCAAACCAAACCAAACCTTAAGTCCCATCAAATGGGGTCGACTACATGAATCTTTCTTCTCCACTCAACTCTATCCAAGGCCATTTCGTGAGTCAAACAAATCATCTATTTTTTATTTTTTGTTTCTTTCAACATAATTTGTTATTTCTTATTTTGTTATAATGTTTTATTTATAATATATATAGATGTCAATTAAAGATAACATATATAGATAAATTAAAAATATTATTAAGAGAAATTATTAGGTGTGGTACTTTTGGTTTGGGAAGAAATTATAATAGAACCGCCATGTTATCAAAAAATTACATAAAATTTTATTAGAAAAATACAAAATATTTTTTTGCAAATCCATGTTTAACCGTATCCAGATACCCGTGTCTAATTTTTGGATACTTTTTAGTCGTACCCGCGTATCCCTCATTTAGAGGTTTGTTGAGTCCGACCTCTAAATATATACCTGCACCCGACACTCGTACCCAAATCGATGAAATGTAGATGGTGAGAAACCATAATCATTTCTTTTCTCACCTCACTATCCAAACGGAGTGTTACTGTTCAAAGCATAAAAGAGCATTCTAAGGAAGGCAGCTCACAAAACAATGTTTGAGAAGATAACTGTCCACGTATGAAGCAATGTTATTTTCAGTCCATAATTCTTTTACAATGTGCAGGTTCCTATAAGATTGGATGCATATTACATGTATGAATAGTAGGCACATTTCCTATTCTAACGAGTTTTCCATGAGGAAAAAAAAAAGGGGGTAATTGCTAAGTAATACAAATATTAGTTCACTCATGCAACCAAGTTACCTTACCAAAAGATAGTAGCCATTGAATTATTAACCAAGTAAATACAGTTTCTGCTGCCAACTAACTACACACGTAGGTATCCAGTTACAAAAATGCAAATCATGTCCTTCCATTCTAGGGTAGGACTGAAAAATATGAATGAGTTGTGCAGAAGCCATGGCGTTGGTCTCTCATACCCTTCTTGTTCACTCTCCACCCTCTTTATCTCTTTCTTTTTTTTTCTTATTTAAACAACCTTCACACGAGTTACAACACCTAGGCACTGTTTCTGACATAAATTTTCAACCACTTTTCCTATGAAAAATATGTTTCATCATTCTAAACAAATCATATCTTCTTTCCTTTTCCTTTTTTTTTTCAGTTACTTTTCAAGGTTTCACAGATTATGTTAAAAGATCCTGATCCTTTGTGAGTTGTGTGTCATTATATGTCAAACATGCATTAACTATTGAATCAAATTATGAAAAAATATTCTGACTGCTCAATTATGTTATGGTTTTATTATAAAGCTAGGTATTTTGCAAAAAATTTGCACCCAATTATAATAATAAACACTTCATCTAATGATGTCAAAGATTACCTTGCAGGTGTTATAACAAAACTAAGGTTGATGCGCCGTGAAGCAGGAACAGAACTTGTAACTCTGCATTTGACAACTTGTTCAACATGACACAGCGAAGTTGGGTCATCACCAGGATCTAAACCAAGCTCAGATCTGGGTCAGATGCAATCAGTTAGTTTCTTTCGATAATCAGATAAGGACACACAACATCAAATAGTCAATCAGAAATTTGCTACAAATAATAGTTCTTTTTTTTTTTTTTCAGGTACAATTCTTTCTTCTTCCTCTCTCTTTTTTATTTTTTTCCCAGTGCATGGGGGGCAAAGGGATAAGGAGAAAGAAACAGTAACACTTATAGAAGAAACTCCAATCAATTAAACAAACTGCACAAAATATGATTAAAACATGCACAAGCTAACACACCTACCCATAAACACAAAGAGGCCAATGCACACCTTCCCCCCATATTTTTCCCATGACTAGAACCCGAGCCACAAGGCTGAAGGTGGATATCACTTGCATCACACCAGGACACAACCTCTTATATACAGACTTAAAAGAACTCCCAATTCAAACAAAAGATTAAGATTCCAAAATGTAAAGCTTGAGGCATCAAGTTCTAAAAAACCTATATAACCCAATTCAAACAAATTCAGAGACTCAAAACCATCAAATGACCGATATACTGACCCATGGGTGACTTCTATAACCATGCCATAAAATTTAAGAAAAAAAGTTCTATTGCCTCTTTATTGTCCAACTCAAGTGATGGAGAATGCATGGGATAAGGATAAGAATAAAAGTTCTATTTATCTATGAATTTTATTTATCTACAAGCTATTTATCCAAGAATTTTATCTATTTAGGAAGTCGAGTTTGTTTAGGATTAGTTAGGCATGCTTATAAATAAATCTTTTATGTAATGGTTTAGCTGACTTGGAAAACAATTAATAATTATCGTTTTGACTTATGATTGATGTAAAAGCCCAGGGTGATTGTTGCTATGTCTGAAACTAAACTCCTTCAATGTTCAAACCTAATGTTTCTCGTCTTTTCTTTTCGTTCTTTCTTATTGATCCTGCATCAATTTAGGTGTCAGATCCTGGCATTGGCCACCCTCATTCATTCAAGAGGTTCATCGAACAGTTGGAAACCACCAATGTTTCAAGTGTTGATGAACCGTCAGCAGCATCAACATCATCACATTGTCACTGCCTCAAATCACCGGATCATCCATTGTCAATCACAACCAACACCTTCGTGCCTCACTGCCACTGTCTTTCAATTTAGAATTGCGGGGTAGCCTGAACTGATGCAATCCACAGCATTAACTGCCACTGTCTTTCAATTTATTTTGCTCTCAGTCTCTCTCTGTGCTCTCTCTCCGTCCGTGGGTTGCTCTCTCTTGTTGGTATGGCTTATGTCTCTCTCTGTTGATCTATTTTTATGCGTTTATTGTGTTTGTGAAAATGTGAACGTGGGTACAATGTGGGTAGAATAGGGTTCATGAATGTTAAAATGTTGTGAAATCATAAATCATAAATTAGGGTTAGGGTTTATAATGGTGAAATTAGAAATTACGATTACGGTTTGAGAAATTATGGTTTTGAATTGTGAAATCTGTTTAAAAATTTGTGAAATCTGTTTAGAAGTGTGAAATCTGTTTCAGAAAAATTTAAATATTATGTTTGAAATGAGAAAATGAGGGTTATGGTTTTCTATTGAATGTGAAATCACAAATGAAGGATTTGGTTTTGAATTAGGGTTTTGAATTGATGAATGTGAAATCATTTTTCAATTAGGGTTAGGGTTTTGAATTGTGAAATATGAGGGTTATGGTTTCAGAAATTAGGGTTTCAGAAATTTATGATAAGTTAAATTTTTTTGATAATGTTATATGATTTTTTTTAGGAACAAATTATGTAAAAACGTAATTCCAAATTCATCTAAATTGTGTTTAAATGATTTGGGTCAAATTGATTGAATAATTTTAATAATTTAATTTGATTACAAATTTTTTTAAACCATACACAATTAAACTTAAAAAATGAAAGGCAATTTTGGGCAATTGGACATGATTTTGATGTTTTGTGTTAGATTCATTATTTTGACGTTTTGTGTTAAATTCAAGCAGCTTTCATTCTTTTATAGATGTTATAGAAATGATAAAATTGAAATAAATTAAAAAATTTAAGAAACAAAATAGAACAGATTTTAATGATAAATAATTAAGGGGTAAAGTATATGATCTTGTATTACATTGGTATCAATGTTCTGAAAAGCGGTTGCGGTCACTGTAACGGTAGCAATGGCACGGTTGCGGTTGCAGGGTGTAAAGGCCGTAGCGTAACGGTTGCGGTAATTGAAACCGTGAATTTTTTTTATTTTTCACACAATTTGAAAAAAACTTACCGATACGCATATTTTTTTTCCAAAATCATATTTATTGGGTTTTAAAATAAATTTTGATCAATTTTTGTTAATTTTTAAGTGTGATCCAATATATTTCATATTTTTAAATCACTACCAACTGAGTTTTTTACATTTTATTTTAATAATTAATGACTTTATATGTCAGAAATCCATATTACAAGTTGTGACAAAATTTTCTTCAAAAATTGGCATATATAAAATATGTATTAATATATAATTATAAGTGTTATGTTTTCTAGATATTTTACAAATAATCAATTACTAACTAAAAAGAGAATAAATAAAAGCCTAAATATATATATATATATATATATATTTTAATCAAGCCAAATACATAATGATTACACTTATTATTATTATTAGTATTTATTTTTTTTCAAACAAAGATTACAAGGTTGAGTGAAGTCCTCCCTGCAAGATGAATTGGCAACATTATCTTCAACAAATCAATAACAGATTCTTCATCTTCCATCTTCTCTCTCTCTATCTCTTACTTCTCCATTTTCTCTCTTCATCTTCCCTCTTCTCTCTCTATCCCTCTTCTCACCTTTTCAGTATTTTTTTCTCTCGAAAGAAGCTATTTGGAACCATTACATAATAGTGCATAATGGGTTGTTACGGCCGCCACACTTGTGAATCTCAATCACACTGCAACCGTTACGTAACGACGCATTTTGAAACCTTGAAATAAATTCACATAAGATTTTTTTCTTTGGATTTGGATCACTTGAGTATTTGTTCATTTTTTGTAAGCTTTTATTTATTTATTTTTTTGGAAAAGAAAGTTGTTCAGAATATTATAAAAGGGTGTAACGGTGTGTAACGGACCGTTACGGCTATTACGGTACCGCTACGGCCGTTACGTAACACCGAAACGGCCGTAACGGGTGGCGGTAACCACCACAACCGTTACGTAACGGCGTTACGTAACGGTTGCGGCCGCTTTTTAAAACCTTGTTATCAACTAACTAGAGCAAAAGAGGATTTGAAAAAAAAACAAAAAAAAAAATCCTTCATACCAAAATGAGAACTATGCAATAAACAAATCTTTAATTTTTGCACCACCATGCATCCATCTCTCTCTCCACAACCACCACGTGATACAATCATCCATGCTTTTTTTGGTACAATATCCCAACCTTAATGGGATGAGTTTAGGAATGGGGAGGTAGAATCTGATTAGGTTCAGGAGGGGGTGGGTGGGAAAAGGGCAACTTCAACTTAAGCATATAAATTCTCATAAATATAATTATATTTTAGAGCAAATTACAAATACACCTCCTAAGATTTACTTAAAATATGGATTATCTCTTATAGTTTGGAAAATTACAAATACCTTCTTATTAGAATTTTTTATTTAACAGAATTAACTAAAAAAATAAAATTTTTGACTACTCTTCTATAGAATAATAAAATTACATGAATTATTAATTGAAATAAATTTCTGGCATCATTAAAAACTGTTAATTTATTTGATGATTTATTAACAAAAGAGACTATTTGTTATGAAATTAAAAACTTCAAGAGGTGGAATGTAATTTTCAAAATTCGTATTTTAAATTAACCTCAGGGGGTATATTTGTAATTTACCCTATATTTTAATATATATCCACGGGAGCTTCTATTTGCACCCTAAAATGTAGGTTGAGGACCCCATTACTTTGAGCACCCCAATAATAAATTTGAAATTTTATTTATTTGTTTCGACACTCTAAATAATACCTATCCTAATCGGAAAAGCTCTAAAACCTTATACAAATCTACTTTGTACACTCTATTACCAATAAACAGAGGAACAAAAACCACATTTGGAGTCTCTGGAATTCCAAGCGATTGAAAAGGGATTCTAAATTCATCTGAGACGAAGAGGGTCTCTCTCTACTCCTCTATGCAATCCGTCTATCAAAGCAAACTACTACTCCTACATCTACCAGCGGTAGGGCTGTGCAAAATATCGCCTAATCCGTTAAAATCGCACCGATCCGCATCGATCCACATTATCCGCTAACCGCGGTTTAAACTTTAAAATTTATAATCCGCCTTCGAAACCGCTCTGCTCCGCTATAATTAATACATATATATTTTTTAACCTATAATAAAATATCAAAGTAAAAATGAGTGTCAAAGATATTTAATATGTGAAATTTATTACAAATTAGTAGTTATATATATGAAAAATATTATGTAAAATTAGTTTGTGTCATAAATATGAAAAATATTATGCAAATTAGTATTCTATATTATGCAAAAACTTGATAATTGGCTAAAATATTCTTCAATCTGCCAATCTATCCAAAACCACTCAAACCGCAATTTACCAATCTATCAATCTGCCAATCCGCCATTCGGTTCATAATTTTAATCTCAAGCTACCCGAACCGCACCGCGCACACCCCTAACCAGCGGCTACCTAGTCCCAGTTGTTTCAAATAGATACTCAATGCGGAACAAAATATATTTGTCCGCATACTTAATTCCAAACATATGAAGTTTATTCGGATACTCAAGCCCAAACCACAAAAAATTGATTTCGATTGTTTCATATAGATACTCAGTGCCAAACAAAATATATTTATCCGGATACATAATTCCAAACACGTGAAGTTTATTCCGGCCAGTTGTTTCATATGGATACGCAGTGCTGAACAAAATATTTTGTCCGGATACTTAATTCAAAACATGTGAAGTTTGTTCGGATACTCAGTGTCAAATCAATTCGGAAAACTAACCTACGAAAAATGATGAACAACAATTAAAAACTTAATTTCTCTATAGAAAATTGCTTGGAAACGTCTTCTTTATTGTCCATGATTGATTTCAATATGAAATAGAATACAAGAATGATGAATTAAAATAAATAGGGTTGGGTTAGGGTTGGGTATGAAGATGCAAAGTGATAAAAGTAGGAAAAGAATATTGGGGCTGATGATGAATGGGGTTTTCAAAACACTTTTATTTACACTTTTTCTGAAGTCAAGTACTTTTTGGTCATTTTAAATAGGGACTTAATAGTAATAAAAAAATATATCATTAAATTGAGGCGCCTATTCTACTTTTTGGGGTGCAAATAGAAGCTCCCATATATCTACAAAAAGTAGGAACACTTCTATGAAAGAAGTGTCATGTCAGACACTGACACTCTGCTAACACTCCTAATTTATTGTTTCCTCTTCTTTCTCATATAAGCAATGACAATGATTGGTATGTATATACCCTGCCTTCTTTAGGTTATCAATAGAAGGAATAGTTATTTATTGTTTCCTCTTTCTAACATAAGCAGCACAACACTAATAAAGCGATTAGTGAGCCCATATCCTTTCTTCTTTAGTTTATCAATAGTAAGAAAAGAGTCTGACGCAATCATCCATACAAAGAATGCCACCTTTTTTGGCGCTCCCAACTCCCAAATCACTTCAAAAGGAAATAAGATCCTCACCCTACCAAATGTTAGAGAATAATATGACTTTACCATGAAAATCCCATTCCCATGATTCCACCAATCTTACTCCTATGAACAGTAATTCTGTATAGAAGCTCAAAGAAATAATTTATAGCCTCCAATTACTAGTCCTAAAGCAATCTAATGAGAGATATTTCCAAACCATTCCTGAGTCTCATGTAATCTGCTATCAAAGTTTCCTAGTTCACAACAACACTATGAAGATCCAAGGTCACTATGACCATCACCACAAAGCTCATGTGCTTGACAAAGTCAGACCATCCTCTATTGTCACCCTTCTCCATAGATTGTCTTTCTATTCTCCGAATATCCAAAGTCATTTACCCAACAAGGCTAGATTAAAAAGGCAAAAATGATGAAAGCCCCCTATACACAATGTAGGCAAGCAAGCTAGGGAACCCTTAATAAGAGTGATTCTAATCTCTTATATAGATATTGCCTTTTCCATCCAGCTAGCATGATGCTAAGTATAAAATGCTCAAGGAAGAGTAAATTTAAATAAGCGATGATATTTGAAAATTAGGATGATTTCAAAAAAAAATCGATACATAATCATGTCTCTAGTATTATTAGTCTTATTTTATGACTAGTTTTAATTTACTAGGATTTTAAGGCAGCGGTATTTTGGTAATTTTCATATTTGCTAACATGGGTTGTAGGGGTTGGCCTGTGGGTCAAGTTACTGAATTGGATTTTATTCATATTTTCTTATTTGGTCTTAAATTGGTTTCGAAAGTAAAAGAATTTTTAGTAGTTCACTTTTCTTGTTATAGTTGGAATAGGACGTCTTTAAAGTCTATATGAAGTCATGTAATTCTTCTAATTCAATAGATTTGATATTTAAGAAAATTTTCAAAGCTTTTGAAGCTTCTTCACGGATTGTGTGATGCAATCAAATGCTAGGTGTAATGCCTAAAAGATTCTAAGAGTGATTCCGTAACCTATCTTCTTCTTCTCCTTCTTTCCCTTTTGTATTTTCTGTACTTTAACAACCCCTAAACAGTGCCAAATCTCATCTTTTCATGCTTAAACTCTTCACCATATATTATCCTAAACAAGCCCTACTTGTCCCCTATACTTTTATTGCAATTTCAGCAATCTATTCAATTAAAATTAACTCTTAATTTTCAAGAAACAATAACTGTCCCCTATTTGGTTGTCAAAGCCTGATGTATGCTTGTTTATTCTTAGGTCTTATGCTTTAACTGCGGGATGTGCATGTTTAAGCTGGTCTGTTTGGTCCCGAACCTGTCTGATTGTGTTCATCTTTCCCATATGTTTATTATGGGACACATGAACATTTTTGTATGTTCGGGTCTGTGTCTTGATAGTTATTCTTATCATGTTTTATTTTGGTTTGGTTTGCTGGTTGAGTGTTTTGGTTTCTTTCATTTGTTCTTGTATAGTTTTCGTTAGGTCCTGGGGTATGCCCCTTGTAGCTGTGTAATTTCTGTTTTTTATTTATGTCTTATTCACCCAAAAAAAGAAACAATAACTTAACAATGATGTTGATATTTCATAATCATATATAACTTTACAAGTAACAATGACCCAATAATAACGAACTTGTAGAACCATTAGGTTTAACTAACCTCATCCATGTAATATTAAAATATATTTATTTCAATAAAATAGCAATAGATGAATTCATATTGGAAATTACTTTAACCTTAAACATTTTTAGAATATACATTCTACTTTTTTTTTAAGGGGAAAAAAAAAAAAAGAAAAAAAAGAGAGAAAAAAATATTAAAAACATGTTAGATCTGACTGAATCTGATTGGATCCTATTAAAAACTCCCTCATCTAAAAAAAAAAAAAATTCATGTATATATATTGGTTATTTCGCACTAAACCCTCTTAGAAGTTGTATTATGTCATTTTAACTAAAAAAATGAAGAAAAAAATTGAAATATGTCAAACATGATCGCTTCAAGAATTGCATGAATTGTAAAAAGTGAATCGAATCGTAAATCGATTGTGAATTGCGCGATTCACTAGAGACTCACTTCCAAAATAGATTCATCCATAGATTTGTATCGATTTTGTAAAAATTGTTAATCGAATCGTGAATCGTAAGATCCTGATAACAAAGCTCTGGATCATTGGCTTCTCAACTGCGAGAAGGTTAGGGAGCTTTGGGATTTGTTGTTAGGACATTCTGGGGTTCTTTGAGTTATCCCTGCTTGATTAAGAGAGTTGTTGGAAAGTTGGGAATGCTGCAAATGGAGGAGAACAAAGAGAGCTTGATTGAAAGCTTCTCCCTGCATTTTGTGGTATTATGAAAAGAAAGAAATGGGTGCATTTTTTATGATGACAGTGTTAGCAACTTTTATGTTCAAGATTTGTCTTTTGCATAGTTTTCCTTGTTGGTGTAAAAGATTTTTTGTCAATCCTCGTCTACTGTAGATTTCATCAGGAGCTCAACTTGGCATCAAACCTTCTTTGATACTCTTGAATACAGGTTGTGTATCCTTTGCCCTTTTGTTTTTTTCTAATACATATTTACTTATAAAAAAAGATGTAACAAAGATTAATTAAAGGACAAAAAGTGACTAGAATGGATATGCTAGGATGACTAGCGATTACCAGCTTGACTATTTTTCGACATAAACCCAGTAAATGAAGGCAATCCAAAATGAAGTATATAGCGTGGTCTTCAATGCTCTTCACATATGCAGTGATAACCTGTAAATCATACACAATTAGAAAAAGAAAAAAAAAAAAAATCATACCAGAACATAAGCATGAGAGATAAACAAAAGATATGGTTAAGAGTAGAGTGTTCAACTCAAACACAATTTCGCAAGAAACAGACTCCACATTAAACCAAAAAGAGTGCCTTACCTAGCCTCATTTGTCATATAGGCAAATAAGGGAATAAAATTTTTATTTTACAACTTCAAAGCTAGAAAATAAAGAGCTAAAAGAACACAAAATAATTAATAATGTAGTAATAATACTTGAGTCTTATTTTTTCATGGGTAATTGAAAAGGGAGGATTTAATTTGAGTATTGGCATACCTCTGCTATAGAGGATTAGGCAGTGTTTTTAAAGGCTCAAGGCGCACCAAGTCACTAAAGGTCTCTTAGGACCTAGGCGCAAGGTGAGGTGTGGGCTTTATTGAAGCAAGGCACGCAGTCTTAGTAAAAAATAAATAAATTAACATAGACTAATGACTCATACTAGTACTAAGACAAATTATTTAAAAAAATTAAAAAATTAAAAATAAATAAAAGAAGAAGAAGAAAGTAACCAAGGCAAATTATCGAATAATTCTCAAACCATAGAATAAAAAAAGAAGACATGTGCTTGCTTATACAAACAGCTATTATTCTCGTTTTTGCATTATTCCATGAAACAGAGAAGCAAAACAAAATGACGGGAAAAAAAACCCAACCCGACAATAGACAGAAAAGAAGAGAGAGAAGAACCCTGCCCAGCAAAGAAGCAGGGAAGAGAGAGAGAGTCAAAGAAGCTAGAAAAAGAAAAAAAATAGAGCAAAGAGGAGGAAGAAGAAGAAGAAGAGAGAGAAAGAGAGAGAGTCAAAGTCGAAAAGAAAAAAACAGAGAGCAACAACGTAGAAGGGGAGGGAGGAGGGGAGAAAAAATAAGTCACCTAGCAACCAGCGAAGAAAAAGAGCAAGGGGGAAAAAAAATAGTCGAATCGAATTGAATCGAATCACCTAACAGCAACTAACGAAGAAGAAGAAAAAGAACTGACTTCAAGATTTTGAAGTCCTCAATCAAAATCGAAGTCGAAGTCAAGAGAAACGAGCCTAGAAGACGACACAGATTTCTTCAATGGATTAGGGATTTAAGTTGTTGACTGATTTGGGTTGAGTTGTATTGAATGAGTTGTAATCCTATGGGTTAGAACCTTTTGAACACAGATCAGAGCTGTTAGATCAGCATCAGAAACAAAAGCAAAAACAAAAAAAGCCCTCTTAGGCTCGCACCTTGCGCCTTTCAGCGCCTGGCCAAGGCGCACAACTCATTCAACGTGCCTCGCCTTGGGTCCCTTCAAGACACCAGTTGCGCCCTACGCCTAAGTGCGCCTTTCACAACACTAGGACTAGGGTTACCACAATTAGCACTAGTCATCATCATTCCTAAGTACAGGAACCACAATGCTGTTAGGCACATCCTTCATGTGAGCTCACCTATTATGTGACGCAAGATTCTTCCCTAATTGTTTAATCCAGCACCTGGGGATTTTGATGACATGTATTCCTCTGTTACAACCTTGAGTTGAGTCCAAGGACAAGGCCTTGTTAATTAGTCCAAAAGGTAGCCCTCTCTCTCTGGGAGTGCTCCCTTAGTTGCACGGTCAAGCTCTTCCACACTAACCACTCTGTGCTTGGCCAATATGATAATCTTAGTGGTCTGATCCAGTTACAGATGCTCGGCCATTGCCTATCTTGGCCCAAATAGTGGCTGGACCAACTCTAACATTCTCGACGCACAACCCTAATTCCAATATACGATATCTAGCCCTAGCCCTAGCCATAGTCCTAGCCCAAAGCTCGGCTCAGTCCAAGGGTGCTAGACTAGGTTTGGCCCATCTCGTGTACTTGGCCTATGCCCTTATCTAACCACATACGCAGGCTAGTTGGGCTTAACCCATGTGACGAGTTCGGCCCAATCTAGGCCTTGCTTCGGTCATATTAACCACCTTCATTTGCCCCTTAGCTTTCACTTGTAGTTAACAGTGTTTTAAAAGGCTCTAGGCGCACCAAGGCGACAAGGTCTCCTATAGCCTAAGCACAAGGCACGAGGCAAGGCGCTCGCCTCACCAAAGCGAAGCACAAGTAGTAGAAGAAAAGCAAAATTATAAAATAGGCAAACTTTTCAACATAACTAATATATACAAAATTTCAGAAATCATAACCATTTCCAATAATCTTTAAACATAACATTCAATAATCTAAAAACTAGAAATATATCCAACGAAAGATATAAAGCATAACATTCAATCTTTTATCACTTTTCACTCTCTTTTGACCACGTTTTGTCATTTTATATTGAAGAGTTTTGAATCCCTGTGGGTATACTCACAAAAAAAGCACTTAATCAACAATTGGAGTAGAAAAATAGGTATGAGCTCACGTCTTGCGCCTCAAAAAAAAGCCCACACCTCGCGCCTCAAAAAAAAAGCCCTCGCCTCAGCACCTAAGCTGCGCCTTCCATATTGCGCCTCGCCTTGACCTGTTCGAAGCGCAAGGTTGCTCCTCATTGCAACTCGAGCGCCTTTTAAAACACCGGTACTTAGCGAAGAGGAAGCTAACTTCAGGGGCAATCTCCTTGTGATATTAAGTGTCTACCTCCTTAGCTCAGTCATCCCCCTGGTCAGACACAAATATCCGTTTGTGTACTGCTTGTGCACACGTGGCGCTTTTCGATTGGTGAAGCCAACCTGTCCTTAACCGCTTGATTTGCTCAATGTGACACGATCCATTGTATTTTTTCATCTTCCCCAACAAGTAATGATAGTAATAAATAACACCCTTTGGTTTCCCAATACACTCGGATGTCTCTTCTAGTTCAAAAGCTATGAGTACTACATCTTCCTTCCAAGAAGGTCTTCCTCTTTCTAATGATCTAGAGCTCTCTCGCAGATTTTGTTCACTCCAATTCCATCATTCCGCTCCAACAAGCCTGTTCCAACCCCAACTTTGAGCCCATCTGTTGTAAGTCGTCCTTCCTCACTAGCTTTGATTCCTAGTCGCACTTAGTTCCTTAGATTTCCAATATTGTTCTGGTTTCTCTCGATGTCCGCCATTGATTCTAGTGACTATTGCCATGATTTCCCCGCCGTTTATTATTTCCGTGCTTTGTGAGGTTTCAACGCCATGGACAAGTTTCAGAGTAAGGTGGATACTCCCGCTGCTATGATGCGATTCCATCATGAGTACAGTGTTGCCAATGACGTCACATTATCGTTGGCAATGATGGATGCTAAACAGATGGGGACCAAATCAACAGTCGCCTTCCTTATAGCATCCATTGTTGAAGGCAGACTTAGATTCTTATTAGACACTTGGTTACATCAGCTTTTCCATCAAGTCATGCTTACCTCGATGCAAGTCTCTATTAATGTCATTAGGATAGTCTGTGGAATCTCAACCCTTAATCATAAGCTCAGACTTAACCTTGAAATCTGGGACATCTTTCATTGCAATGGTTTATTCCACAACAAGGATTATAGCACATATTACTTGTGTGTTTGGTCGGCCGAGTTACATATTACTTGTGTGTCTGATCGGCCGAGTTGCACCTAGTTACCAAGCTCTTTGATAAAGGACAAGCACAATGATGACTTCCTTTAAGTTAGGAGAAATTGGGAGTTTTCAGCCGATATTAAGGACCAAATAGAGAGGATACCTCAGACTTAACCTTGAAATCTGGGACATCTTTCATTGCAATGGTTTATTCCACAACAAGGATTATAGCACATATTACTTGTGTGTTTGGTCGGCCGAGTTACATATTACTTGTGTGTCTGATCGGCCGAGTTGCACCTAGTTACCAAGCTCTTTGATAAAGGACAAGCACAATGATGACTTCCTTCAAGTTAGGAGAAATTGGGAGTTTTCAGCCGATATTAAGGACCAAATAGAGAGGCTACCACAAGTCGATAGCCATCCAAGTCTTGGACTGACCTCTCCTTTAATCTCAAATTCTTGATTATTTTGCCTAAGTCACTCGTTTGGTTCCCCTTTCAGGTTCTAGTTGACACGATGCAGCCGACCACGGAGAACGTAGAAGCGATCAAGGCCACATTTCAATACAAAAAACGTTTAGCTCTAGAGTTGCTCGGTTACATACAAATCTACAGGTTTACTATCACAAAGAAAGTTAAAGTACTGATTATCTTCAAGAGTCTCCTGAGCATAAAGACAAGCATCAACTCGATTAGACAACAAGTGCCTCTTCTTTTGTTCCAACCCGTTCTTCGAGCCAAGCTCCCAATAGAACTGTCTAAGGAGATAACCATGCTGAAGCAAAGAATGATGCTTGATTTGGAGACCAAAGTTCTCAATTCCACATCTACACAAGGAACAGCTCTCTTGCCTTTCCTTAGACTAGGTAGTATGAGAGGCTTGTTTAGAAATTTGTCTGAAGGAGAAGAACATTTATTTTATTCTGAGGTTGAACTAAACAAGTCCCCCCCTTCCCCAAACCGAGAGGTCCTCGAAGAGGCATAAGGAGACTAGCGAAGAACTAGTTGATGCCATATTGAAGAGCAAGAAACGAAGAGTTGCCCGAGCTGTGGGAACAGCCTTTGATGCATACTGGCCGACTGATCAATACCACTAACTCCGTTGTAAATTCACGCGAGATGGCTTTCGATCTGTCGAAGATCTTCTTCCACTTGACATGGCCAACCACAACATTCCTTCAAGAAACCACATAATGAAGGGAATAGCCCAAATGCTAACCGTGGAAATGTGTTTTTGTACATATTTAAGTCTTTCCTCTCCCTTGTTAGCAACTAATTGACTGTCTTCTTCAATGTGTACAAAGGATGCATATCATTGATGATTTGACTACTTTAGAGGATTCCAAGAGGACCCCCGCATCTTGGCCTAAGACTTCTATTGCGTCAGATGAGAAGGCAAAGCTAGAAGCTGTGGAGATAAGCAAGAAATCAGAGGAGAGGGTGGCCAAGCTAGAGGGTGTGGTGGCAATCAAACTCGAGGTGCGATGTCAAAGGCTTGTAAAAGTGATTCCAATAACCAGATTTATTTAAAGCACTTTAACCCTCAAACATCTCACATCACAAGTGCAACCCTATAAAGAACTGCAAAATAAACATGTATTCCTATTTTTTGGATATTGTTCACAAGGTAGGAACAAGCCCAAACCAATCCCCAAAACTCATATTTTTCAATCTCAAAACCCAACCCTTTGTTTCACTTTTAAAACCGTAAAATCCTCGTATTTTTTCACTCATCTAGCTTTTTAAAACTAACTGAAAGAGTCACATGCACTTTTTTTGTTGCTATACATTTGAGAACAAGAGTCACTCCTGTTAGTAGAGTGCAATTTGCACTGATTCTACATCACAAAAAAGCAAGGACATATGCCTAAGTGGGTACAAGATACAGGTGGTTTGCCTTTGTCTATCCTAACACCTCATTAATAGTGGGACCTCAACTACTAGGACCCCCAAATCACCAATACACAGATTTCAGATGTTTACAAAGCACATCACATGCCTTTATCTTGGTATAGAGTCATCTCCTTTTGGAGATCTATCTCTTTCGCTCTCTAAGTCAAGCAAAAGCACAAGTCCCTCGAGGGAGAGTGGAGCTAGCATCTTAATCAACCTTTAATTCTAGCCACCAAGTCACATGACCTGAGAGGTATTGCATAGGGTCATAGGGTCTCACTCAACTGCCCTGTAATCGTGGAACAAACTCTACCAGAGAGGTCCCTAGGCTAATGTAGGAGCATTGGATGCCATTGGGGGAAAAGGGGGGACGCAGCATAGGTGAAACACACTATAGTAAAGAATCACTCTACCACCAAACAAAAGGCATCAAGCATGGCATCAAGAGCAAGGGAGGCGACGCGCAAGAGAGGAGCATATTGAGCACGTTTACATAAGCATATTAGAAGTACCTTACTAATTGTCTGTAAGCCCTAGGCTTAAGGTTAAGGCATCGTTAGTCTTAAGTGACATGTCTCGACTCACAAAATCATCACAAAATATTTTATTACACCTTTTCCTTTCACTAGTAACATTTATCATTATTAAAATTAATATTCATTTGTTATAGGATTGTGGCCAAAAAAAGTTGAATGAAAACAGGAAGGAACCAAAAATAAGAAGAAAGTATCATATTAGTATCAGAGTCATTTTCTTGCAAAAAGAAAAATTAAATCTTCAATGAAACATTTGAAAAAATGCATACCATTCCTTCTTGAATAACATCCAAGGTTAAGGTCTTATGCAACAAAGCAAGACGCAAAGAAAGCCAGATCTTTCGTTTCCCCTTCTCTTTTTCTTATCATCACCCAGTTGCAGTACAATGCAAGAAACCAATTGCCCAACATAATAAATGCTAGAAAGAAAATTAGTCTCCACATCCTGATATAATAGAAAATAAAACCTTCTTAGACTGAAATTATGAAAACAAACAATTTTAAGCACACATAAATGTAAGGAAGGAGGGGGAAAATCTAAATGAGAAAAATTAGTTCAAAAGCAATAGAATAATAATGGCACAAAGACAGAAAATAAATGTCAAGGGAAGAACTATTTGGATATTCTTTATAGAAGAAGCAAGTCACCACCTTCACTTTATTATCTGAAATAGGATCGAATGCTTCACTTGCACGAACTAATCCACGCAAGCCCCCTGGAAGACTAATTATGATATCTTTCTCATTTACTTCAGCAATGACTCCCCAAAGCTTCATTCCCGGAGAAATATTCTAGGAATGCACAAAGAAAGCATAACTTTAAATTAGACAGCAAATTAATATGGAAAAAAAATATATCCAAAATTAAGATGCTAAATTATTAACAGATGGCATCTATGAAGTTTACTTCAAAGTGTAGATAAGCTAGAAATACAAAAGTAGCAGTACCAATAATTACAAGAATTTTTGAAAACAATATTAGGCATTTATTGAAATTTCATGCAATTTTTATTAAAATCTTCAAAATAAAGTCTACACGCACTGTACTATTCTCAGGTTGCCCAGTCTCAATAGAGAGAAATAAAGAAAAAAAATACACAAAAAAAAAAAAAAAAAAAAAACCCCAAAAAAAAAAGGCCAAAAAAAAAAAAAAAAGTAAACAAATTAAGAGAATAAATAATAATATTTGTTTTTAGCAATAATTCACCATCTTAGTGTCCAATAACAGCCACCAGGGTTAGTTCAATTGGTATGACCATTTGATCACGCGTAATTATCTAAAGCAGCTGTGAACAAAGAACTTAGGTGTTAAAGTGAGTGGGATTTGTGTTGTAATCTAATTGTTAGCATATTAATCGTTATCTTGTATAAAAAAAATAAAAAATAAAAAAAAAAAGATTGGTCTCAATATGAGAAAACTTGAAAAAACTATAAAGCTCAACATGAATCCTGTTTCGATAATTCGAATTGTTCATTTTGTAGCGTCCACAATATATAAAAATTAATTTGATCCAATAATTATAATTTTTTCATTTTATTGCATTTGTCTCCAAATCAATAGACAAAAAATATATATTTGAAATATATTATCTATTTTTTTTAAAGACAAATGCGATAAAATAAAAATGTTATGATTATTGGATCGTCTTAAATTTTTTCATAGATAATATATATTACGGACCTTACAAAATGAATAATTCGAATTATCAAAATAAGATCCATGTTGGATTATATGAGTCACTCAAATTCTCTCATGTTAAAATTCTAATATTAGAGAAATCCAAAAAAATAAAAAAATAAAAATTGAATTGATATGACCATATAATTTACTTGCCCTATATTTTCATCATCAGATTCGGTAGCACACATAAATTTTGGAATCTCCCCTTTTAGAAAATATATATATATGTGGCCACGAACTGTTAATGCATATATATGTGGCCCCAGTTTTTCTGGCAGGCAGGTTTTTTTTTTATCAGAAAAAAGGATGTTGGGAGGTGTCATCACTACATCCGTAGGCCCAAGTCCCGGGGCAGTCAGATTTGTCAATATTATATTAAAATTTTTAGAGGTACTATAAATTTATAATTTTTTATTTAAAATTTATTCAGAAATAATAAATAATAATTCAAATTCATTTTAGAGAAAATAAAATATGAGTGAATTTTACAAAAAAAAAATTTACAAATTCGTGATAAAGTATATGATTTTGTCTTTGCAGAAATTTCAAATTAGTGTAAAAGTTAAAAAGGATCATTACAAATTAATATTAAACTTTATCAATATTAAATATTAAAATTATGAACTTTTCCTGGAACAACTTCCTCAAGATTGTCTTTCTATTCTCCGAATATCCAAAGTCATTTACCCAACAAGGCTAGATTAAAAAGGCAAAAATGATGAAAGCCCCCTATCCACAAAGTAGGCAAGCAAGCTAGGGAACCCTTAATAAGAGTGATTCTAATCTCTTATATAGATATTGCCTTTTCCATCAAGTGATGATATTTGAAAATTAGGATGATTTCAAAAAAAAATCGATACATAATCATGTCTCTAGTATTATTAGTCTTATTTTATGACTAGTTTTAATTTACTAGGATTTTAAGGTAGCGGTATTTTGGTAATTTTCATATTTGCTAACATGGGTTGTAGGGGTTGGCCTGTGGGTCAAGTTACTGAATTGGATTTTATTCATATTTTCTTATTTGGTCTTAAATTGGTTTCGAAAGTAAAAGAATTTTTAGTAGTTCACTTTTCTTGTTATAGTTGGAATAGGACGTCTTTAAAGTCTATATGAAGTCATGTAATTCTTCTAATTCAATAGATTTGATATTTAAGAAAATTTTCAAAGCTTTTGAAGCTTCTTCACGGATTGTGTGATGCAATCAAATGCTAGGTGTAATGCCTAAAAGATTCTAAGAGTGATTCCGCAACCTGTCTTCTTCTTCTCCTTCTTTCCCTCTTGTATTTTCTGCACTTTAACAGCCCCTAAACAGTGCCAAATCTCATCTTTTCATGCTTAAACTCTTAACCATATATTATCCTAAACAAGCCCTACTTGTCCCCTATACTTTTATTGCAATTTCAGCAATCTATTCAATTAAAATCAACTCTTAATTTTCAAGAAACAATAACTTAACAATGATGTTGATATTTCATAATCATATATACCTTTACAAGTAACAATGACCCAATAATAACGAACTTGTAGAACCATTAGGTTTAACTAACCTCATCCATGTAATATTAAAATATATTTATTTCAATAAAATAGCAATAGATGAATTCATATTGGAAATTACTTTAACCTTAAACATTTTTAGAATATACATTCTACTTTTTTTTTAAGGGGAAAAAAAAAAAGAAAAAAAAGAGAGAAAAAAATATTAAAAACATGTTAGATCTGACTGAATCTGATTGGATCCTATTAAAAACTCCCTCATCTAAAAAAAAAAAATTCATGTATATATATTGGTTATTTCGCACTAAACCCTATGAGAAGTTGTATTATGTCATTTTAACTAAAAAAATGAAGAAAAAAATTGAAATATGTCAAACATGATCGCTTCAAGAATTGCATGAATTGTAAAAAGTGAATCGAATCGTAAATCGATTGTGAATTGCGCGATTCACTAGAGACTCACTTCCAAAATAGATTCATCCATAGATTTGTATCGATTTTGTAAAAATTGTTAATCGAATCGTGAATCGTAAGATCCTGATAACAAAGCTCTGGATCATTGGCTTTTCAACTGCGAGAAGGTTAGGGAGCTTTGGGATTTGTTGTTAGAACATTTTTGGGGTTCTTTGAGTTATCCCTGCTTGATTAAGAGAGTTGTTGGAAAGTTGGGAATGCTGCAAATGGAGGAGAACAAAGAGAGCTTGATTGAAAGCTTCTCCCTGCATTTTGTGGTATTATGAAAAGAAAGAAATGGGTGCATTTTTTATGATGACAGTGTTAGCAACTTTTATGTTCAAGATTTGTCTTTTGCATAGTTTTCCTTGTTGGTGTAAAAGATTTTTTGTCAATCCTCGTCTACTGTAGATTTCATCAGGAGCTCAACTTGGCATCAAACCTTCTTTGATACTCTTGAATACAGGTTGTGTATCCTTTGCCCTTTTGTTTTTTTCTAATACATATTTACTTATAAAAAAAGATGTAACAAAGATTAATTAAAGGACAAAAAGTGACTAGAATGGATATGCTAGGATGACTAGCGATTACCAGCTTGACTATTTTTCGACATAAACCCAGTAAATGAAGGCAATCCAAAATGAAGTATATAGCCGTGGTCTTCAATGCTCTTCACATATGCAGTGATAACCTGTAAATCATACACAATTAGAAAAAGAAAAAAAAAAAAAATCATACCAGAACATAAGCATGAGAGATAAACAAAAGCTATGGTTAAGAGTAGAGTGTTCAACTCAAACACAATTTCGCAAGAAACAGACTCCACATTAAACCAAAAAGAGTGCCTTACCTAGCCTCCTTTGTCATATAGGCAAATAAGGGAATAAAATTTTTATTTTACAACTTCAAAGCTAGAAAATAAAGAGCTAAAAGAACACATAATAATTAATAATTTAGCAATAATACTTGAGTCTTATTTTTTCATGGGTAATTGAAAAGGGAGGATTTAATTTGAGTATTGGCATACCTCTGCTATAGAGGATTAGGCAGTGTTTTTAAAGGCTCAAGGCGCACCAAGTCACTAAAGGTCTCTTAGGACCTAGGCGCAAGGTGAGGTGCGGGCTTTATTGAAGCAAGGCACGCAGTCTTAGTAAAAAATAAATAAATTAACATAGACTAATGACTCATACTAGTACTAAGACAAATTATTTTAAAAAATTAAAAAATTAAAAATAAATAAAAGAAGAAGAAGAAAGTAACCAAGGCAAATTATCGAATAATTCTCAAACCATAGAATAAAAAAAGAAGACATGTGCTTGCTTATACAAACAACTATTATTCTCGTTTTTGCATTATTCCATGAAACAGAGAAGCAAAAAAAAATGACAAGAAAAAAAACCCAACCCGGCAATAGACAGAAAAGAAGAGAGAGAAGAACCCTGCCCAGCAAAGAGGAGGAAGAAGAAGAAGAGAGAGAGAGAGAGAGAGTCAAAGTCGAAAAGAAAAAAACAGAGAGCAACAAAGTAGAAGGGGAGGGAGGAGGGGAGAAAAAATAAGTCACCTAGCAACCAGCGAAGAAAAAGAGCAAGGGGGAAAAAAAAAGTCGAATCGAATTGAATCGAATCACCTAACAGCAACTAACGAAGAAGAAGAAGAAGAACTGACTTCAAGATTTTGAAGTCCTCAATCGAAATCGAAGTCGAAGTCGAGAGAAACGAGCCTAGAAGACGACACAGATTTCTTCAATGGATTAGGGATTTAAGTTGTTGACTGATTTGGGTTGAGTTGTATTGTATGAGTTGTAATCCTATGGGTTAGAACCTTTTGAACACAGATCAGAGCTGTTAGATCAGCGTCAGAAATAAAAGCAAAAACAAAAAAAGCCCTCTTAGGCTTGCACCTTGCGCCTTTCAGCGCCTGGCCAAGGCGCACAACTCATTCAACGTGCCTCGCCTTGGGTCCCTTCAAGACACCAGTTGCGCCCTACGCCTAAGTGCGCCTTTCACAACACTAGGACTAGGGTTACCACAATTAGCACTGGTCATCATCATTCCTATGTGCGGGAACCACAATGCTGTTAGGCACATCCTTCATGTGAACTCACCTATTATGTGACGCAAGATTCTTCCCTAATTGTTTAATCCAGCACCTGGGGATT